ATTTTATTTACCCCATTTTTTAGGAATTTTTAACTAATTTTTTAGAAACTTATACAAAATCTTGGAATTTATTAAGACGTTGTCAAATTTGGCAGCATTCCGTGGGTCTTTCATGATAAAAAAGATTGATGACTTAAACGTTTTATTTATCCGAATTAAATTTAAAATTGTTTAACATAAGAGAATAAATAACTTTTTTTATTAATCATTAAAATTTTTCAATAAAATTTTTAAAGTCTAAACGACTTTAAATGATAAATGTTTGGCCCATTTTGAAAATAAGGGCTAATTACAGAAATGTCTTTTTATTCATACCTACCTACATATGAAGTTAAATTTTCTTGTCTTATATGCATGAATTTAAATAAGCTTGAAAATCCAATTTTATTTTTTCTCAATAACCTTCAAAATATTGATTATCCCTTATCTGTCAGCAAAAAATGTCATTATATCTTAAATTTTGTTTACTTTAAAAAATCCATCACAAATAATTGGCAAAATACGGTATGTCACTTTTGTATTTGTTTAAAGTAAAATTGGGTTTTTTCATGGATTAATTTTTTTTTTTTGTAGTTCAACTTAAAAGCTTTTAAATTCACAAAACACCTGTTACGCATATTTCTTAACACTGTTTACAGATGGTAATAAAAAGTTAAAGATTAGATTGTAAGAGAACTTGTGTAAATACTAACGTATACTCTTAGTAGTAGTATATATGTATATATGAATGTCTGTCTATTAGACCGTTGTTTTACAGAAAAAGGTTTAAAAAGCCAAAAATCTTTAATTACTTGTTTAGGTCATCAGCAATACCAGCAAAGTTTATATCTTTTTCAGTTAAGTTTTAGTCCTTCAAAACTTACCTTCAAAAGCTTTTACAAAAAGTCTTGTGTATTTCTGTGTAATGGGTTGTGTTTACTCACGTATGCATTAGTGGTTGCTTAGAGGTTTCTCTCCTTAAGTATGTATAGATATTCTATACATATTTATATATATGAGTTTGAGTTTCTCAATCTATTATTAAGTTTTCTTTAGTTATTAAAATTTTGTTCTGCTTTCCTCTCTCCAAGGGTTCATTGTGGATGTATTATTACAACCGTGGTACGTGAATGTTATAATGAATGTTGTTTTAATAGACTTGATGTAATTTGTATACCCTACACCTCTATATTGGAGACGTTATTATGCGTTTATGCTGATGTTTATAGCATGCAACAAAACAATCGTCTCCGTCTGTGTATCCAAGGTTAATAACCTTGTGCGCACGCAATTTTTAAGATAATTTTATGAAATTTGGCAAATACTTTTCTTTTGAAGCAAGAACGAAACTTATTGAAAATAGTTGAAATCGATCCACTATTTCGCCTATAGGCCCATTTACCTTTGCCCCCATACAACGTCTCTTTTAGAAAATCTCTCTTAATTGTAAATATTTCTGAATTAACGTAAAAAAACAAATAAATTCTTTATTATTAACAAATAATCTACATTTTTAACATATTCACTGGTATAGGGTATCACATGGTCGACCATGCCGACTTGTTTTTTATATTATTCTAACATTTTGTTTATGTGTTTGTCATTTCTCTTCTTTTAGTTAAAACATTAAAATAATATTTTGATTTATGTACATTTTATGATAATGTTTAGTTCTCTTGATTTTATTTTCTTCATAACTTTTTGAAATATTATTTTTTATTTTTCTATTAATTTTACGTTAAAATTTTGCAAAATTATTTTTTCGTTTTTTCAATATTAATACACATATTTACGCTTTTAGAGGAGTATTAATAGGTGTGTATTTGTCATTAAATTATTAGTAATTTATATATTTTAATGTTTAGAAATTTGAATAATTTAATAATAATGATAGATTTTTGGTTAATTGTTAGGAAGTATTACATTTTATGGTCATTATTTATAATGCTACTTATTTAGAAAAATTAACCTAATTAACATAAAGACATTGAATTATGTTTTTGGTATAAAAAAACTTTTTTAGGCTATAACTAACTAAATGACACATTGCTTGTATACGAATCCCCTAGTAATGTCTGTCCTTTAATATGTTGTTGGCATTAGGGATCATCGGTTAGTGTATTAAAATAAGTGAAATTAAACGATGAAACCTAATACGCAGTAATATATTGGCATCATAGTTTTTCGATGTAAAGTCTTAGAAAAATGAGAACTGAAATTTCGCTGGAATCTTTCTAAATATTTCAAAAAAAGCTATTCGTTCTATTGCTAAAGAAAATAAGTTAATGGTTTTATCAATTCATTAGTAAACTAATTCACCAGCGAACTTAGAAATTGTGTCTACATTAGGGTTATAACATTAAAACATTTTTGAAGTTTTCAAATCGGTCCTATATCTTCCACATAGAGTATAAAAAACTTTTTCGCGAGCGTTAAAAAAGCTTCCGCGGCAAATGTTTTTAAGTTTTCGTTATTTACTCTAAAGAAAATTTAAATTTTTTTAATTCAAAATCGAAAAATTTTCGATGTAAACAAGTGTCATTGTTTGACCCATGACATTTACACATAAAAAAGAAAAGGATTATTCCTGTTCTAAATTTAGTAGCCAAACTTGTAGATTATACTAAAAATTCAATTAAATTTGTTTGGAAATGGGGTTAGAAAATTGCAACAAAATGACACGATATACATATGTATAGGTTTTCGTTATTAGAACACTACTGGCTACCTAGAAGTGATAGGGTAAAATTTTGGTTATTACCCTAATATAAACATATGTATGTATATTACATTGAAAATTACTTTTTACACGCAATATATCGTTTTTAAAAAATACTTTTTTTTAAATAAATCTAACATGAAATCTTATATAAATTTTTATTTTGTAATAACCGCTTTTCATTTGTATTTATTTAATAAAACATCAGTTTAGCAATTAAAATCATGAAAAATATGTTAAACTTTATTATTCATATTTTACATGAGATACAACAGTACGTATGTTTGATATTAATTTAATTGAATTAAAAATACTTATACGTCTAACGCTCAGGAAATAGTACGTTAATATCTATCAAATATTTAATGAAGAGGAAAAGTTTCTTGATCTTACATGATTTTTGTAATTGCAAATATATAGTGTCGAAACATAGAGATAACTTTAAAGATTTTCTATGTTTCGAATTTAAAAAAAGTCAGAATCAAATAATCTTTGTTAGTAATAAGCCCTGGTTAAAAGTTCATCACATTCTGGTTAAATTTTCTAGTTAAAAGATGATCAGAATCTGATAAATTTTTCTAATAAATATATAATCAGAATTTTATCAACCATTCCAGTACGAAGTTCAAAGAACTTGATAAACTTTTATTCAAAATATTTTAAGCTCAAAATGTAATCATCACTTTTCTAGTTAAGTTCACTATTGAAAAATTCATCAGAATGTGATTACATTTCTAGTAATCATAATAAAGCTTAAAGGTTAAAATTGTATCAGAACCTTATCAACGATACTATTAAAAAGTTAATCAGCCACTGAAAATGTTTTCTATTCAAAATGGTAAATCTGATAATTTTTTCTGGTAAATGTTTCTATGTAAAGATCATAAGACTCAGATCAACTTTTCTAGTAAAAAAATCGTCAGAATCTTAGAAAAGAATCTTGCGAAAAGTTCATCACAGTCTGTCTAATTTTTCACTTAAAAGTTTATCAGGGTCTAACTAAATTTTCTATTAAGAAGTTAAAAAAATATTTAAAAAAATGCAAAAAAGTTTAATGTCGTATAAGTAAAAAACTTCTACTAAGTATTTTAAAGAAAAGTTCTTTAGAATCTGTTCACATTTTTAGTGAAAAAGTTCTGACTATTTAAAGATCATAAGACTCAGGTTAACTTTTACAGTAAAAAGATTGTCAGAATCTAATGAAATTTTTAGCAAATTTTAATGAAAACTTCATCACAGTCTATATAACATTTCGGCTTAAAAGTTTATCAGACTCTACCTAAATTTTCTATTAAAAAGTTCGAAAATGTAAAACTGTTTAATTTTTCGGCCGCTTCTTAAGTAAACAACTTTCGGCTTTTCATGCACAAACACGTTTAATTAAGTGCCTTAAATTAACTTCTCTACTGCCAATTTAATACACATGCTAATGATGTACTTAAATTTGCATTCTAATATCAAATATTTGACATAAGTAATTTACACAATGATTACAATTTCATATTAAACACTTTGAGAAACTCACTATGAAACCTTTCAATAAATTCTAAAAATATCACATACGTTTTGGTTTGGCATATACATACTAGTTCCAAGTATTTCATATAATAATTTTCTTCTACATTACAAATACTTGTACTTGAAAATGTCATAACTCAATATTTAGGATTTTTGAAGTGAGTATTAAAAACATTTGTCGAGTTAAAGTAAACGACTTAAAACATTTAAAGAAATTTTATAAAATTTTTTTTATTTACATCACTATTAAAGTAAATGAACTTTATGCATTACTGAAATATGATGAAAATTATGACCCTGAAATACCCCGTAGAGTTTTTGTTGTCAGAATAATAATTGAGTTCTAGTGTCAGGTTGTGTGTATAACAAAATTTCAAATATCCTTAACATCATTGTCATCATCTCTTTGACTGTGTGCGTGTGTGTGTGTGAGCGTAGCAAATAATTGCCAAAATATCAAGTAAAATTCACTGGAAATCATTTACTTAATTGCAATAAAACAATATAATATTATAAAATATTGTGGGATGTAAGAATATTTAAAGCACAAAAATATGTTTTTATTTTATAGGTCACGGGACAAATACAATGAGCATTAAATGATATTATTTGCTAACAAGATCTTAAAAGAACTTCAATAATCTTTAAGGCATATTGTGAAAATAATATGAATTTAAATTAAATTTGTAAAATTTTTATATTATTTAACTAATGGTGTGAACTTTTACTTTTTTCCTATTTTTAATTTTCCTTGTTATTGTTTTCTTTTGTATTTTTTCTGCAGCATTATCACCAATTATTTTGTGGTTTCACTGGCAGTAGCGGATATGTTGGTTGCTCTGTGTGCCATGACCTTTAATGCTTCCGTTGAAATATCCGGTAAATGGATGTTTGGTTCAGTAATGTGTGATATGTGGAATAGTTTTGATGTATATTTTTCAACAGCCAGTATTATGCATTTATGTTGTATCTCAGTGGATAGGTGAGTAAATAATTGGGAACAAATATACATACATATATGCACACATATGTACATACATATACATTTAAGCCTACACAGTCAAATAGCAAACGAATAAAGTATTAACCCTATAAAGGTCAAAAAGTAAGCATATTGAAAAAAGAGAGAGAATGAGACATTTAAATAATTTGCAATGACGATAGTATGGGATCTTGTTTACTTTATTATTTTGCTCTTTTATAGGAATTGTAAAGAAACCCGTTATACTTTTCTACAATATAACTCTTTTTTACCTTTATAGGGTTAAACCCAACCAATCGCCATTATCTATACAAATTTAATATTGTATTTGTTTACTATTTGCTTGATTTTGGTTTTCATATTATTTACAGATATTATGCCATTGTCCAGCCTTTGGATTATCCCTTAATTATGACACACAAGCGTGTATTTATCATGCTGGTAATTGTTTGGCTGGCACCTGCTCTTCTATCATTTTTACCCATATGTTCCGGTTGGTATACGACCAGTGATAATTGGCGTTACTTAAAATCAAATCCGCATGTAAGTTTTTTTTTTCAAATAAATTTACATGTTATTTTTTATTTTTATTTTTCTCTTGTTTTTGTAATTAATTTGTAACAGAAATGAAATTGTATACAAGCCTATAATTACACTAATTTTTAGGGCATACATGAACAATATTTATATGTATTCGTTACGGATTACATTTAAATAAATGAATATGTATTACAATTATACATATAGTAAGAATGTATTCACACATTCATTTAAATAAGTACTAATACCATCATGACATAAAATATTATGAAATGAGTTATATTTAATGTTTCAACATCATGATTTTTACACATGGTACAATCTTAATTAAGGGAAACAAACATGAGGAAAATATAAATAATATTATAATTAACTCAAACCCAAATACTTCACTCTACTCCTAAAAATAAATAGTTTTTTTTTTTTTTGTTAAGAAACCCATTAAATGGAGGTATAGAATCGTTTGTTAAGAAGACAGACTATACATATTTTGTAATGAAAAGTTTACAATAGACTGACCATAATGATGGATCAAAAATATAAAGCAGTACAATAAAAAAGCTCTAGAAAAGTTCATCACTACAATTTCCAAAAAATTGTTTACCTTTTCTAGACGAAAGTAGTATCATCACAAAGAAGTATCATCACAATTTAACCAACTTTTCTAAAGAAAATCTCATTAAAATCTGACAAACGCATATAATCTTCTGACCAACTTTTTTAGAGAATAGTTTATTCGAAATGTGATAAATTTTGCTAGAGAAAATTGCACTAATTAGTTTTTCTAAATAAAATTTATGAAAATCTGAACACATTTTATAGAGAAAATATTATAAGTTCTTTTAGGATCTGATCAACTTTTCTAGAGAATAGTTCGACACTATATAATTTTTTTAACGTGAAGTTCATTGCTACCTGATCCAATTTTCGAATGAAAAGTTTGACCACAATCTGATCACCTTTTGTAAAGAAAAGTCCATCACAATCAGAAAAAAATTCACCAAAATTTGATCAACTTTTTTAAGAGAAGTTGATCATTTTTTCTATGGAAATCTCATTACGCTAACTACATTCTGACCAACTTTTTTGAAGAATACTTTATCGAAATATGATCGACTTTGCTAAGGAATCTTTCACAAGAAACTAATTAGTTTCTCTGAAGAAAGTTTATGAAAATCTGATCGCCCCCAAAATCTAATAAAATTTTTTTGAAGATAAAAAATTCATCAAAATTTGATCAACTATTTTTAAGAAAAGTTTTTTTTTATAGTGTGGTAAAGTTTTCTGGAGAAAAGTTCATCACAAACTTCTCCAGATAAAAGCTATTGTATTCTAACAATTACATGGATACATATTTAATACGCAGTTTGTATTTGTAAAACTTAAGTAAAATTGTCAACTGTGTTAAAAGGAAATTCTAATTTAGTGGTATATTATATATGTAGGTGTGTATGTACATATATTAGGGTGCTCCAAAATGGAAGTTGTTGATGTTCGCAACAAAAATGAAAATTTAGTTTATTCTAATACATGTGCCATTTGTGGCCTTCGGTAGGTTAGTGGTTAGTGTTCTAGTCTGGTAGGCGGAGGTCGTGTATGCTATTCCCACCTGAGGCACTGGTAAAGCAGTGCACAACAGACCCGATAGAGACCCAAGTGTATTTCTTCGAATTTTATGTTTATGAATTCTCCTTTCAAACTAACTCACTCCGATCTTATATTAGCTACAGGCGACATACCGGTTATCTCTCTCAAATGTCTATATTAACAGTTATTGTGACTTATCGGGTTATGTAAACTATTTTGTACATTATATTCTTTCTATCAAGTCCAAAAAATCCTTTCTTCTGGTTTTACATTTTGAGATCTGATCAGTTAAATTTGCTTGGAGCCTAATTTTTTGGTCCAGAATGGATCATCGACACTAAATTAACGTTTGTATAGAAAATTTCAAATTTGGAGATGTTAAGTCATAGAGGGTTAAACAAAAACGCCTATATCATTCTTTTCATAAAATATGAAAAAATTGAAAACGCTTTAAAAATAAACCTTTTCATATCTTAACCAAGCTTAATAAATATTGACCCATGAATAAAAATTTTGAGAAACGGTGTCTTAGAATAAACTAAATTTTAATTTTCCATGGGAACATCAGTACCTTATTTGTACCGCATGCATTCTCTTCCATTTACAATTCAATACATACTGCAGATATAAGTATGCACTCCCTCAAATCAAAGAACAGCCTGCCTCAACACAAGATATCTTACTTTTTTCCAACACTTACAGACATATACATATATTTACATACATTAGGGTGTCCCCGTTTGTATGCAGGAATAATAAGGTGTCAACTTTCCCAACTAAAATTAAAGTTTAATTGATTCTAAGATACCGTTTTTCAAAATTTTTGTCTTGGCGTCAATATTTGGTGAGCTGGATCAAAGAATAAAAAGGTCCTTTTTTGAGGTTTTTATGATTTTTTTCATACTTCTTCCAAATGAAAGATAAGAAATATTGGTATTATTAGAAAGGCCCTTGAGAGACGCTTTAAATGACATATCAGACATTTTTGTGCAACAGCAAAAGTAATCGAAATTTTCTAATTTTTCGGAAAATTTTCAGATTTTTTACATTTTAACACAGATGAATTAAATATAAATCATTGGAATTAATACATATTATTTTTTTCGTTTTCAATTTATAGATATCTATGTACGCTAACACGTACGTTAGCAATACCATACAAACCGTTAAGTGTAACAGAAAAGTACATATTTTGAATAGATTATGTTAATATTTTAGTTAAACTGAAAAATTTCATTAATAATATAATGAAATCATAAAGAGTTATGTATATACTAATGTAAAACTAATAAAATTGCACGTTTACTGATGAACATATTATGTACGTTAGATAAATATATCAAGCACAATAGTAAGGAGAACATAGCGTTTAAAATATTTAAATAAAATACAAAGCATATCGAATTTCGAAAAACAGTAAAACCATTTCGGTGCAATTAATTATGGTTTATAATATAATAATTTCCATTAATTACATTAAATAATTCTCTGTAAGAATTTTAAAAATCTAAAAATTATCCGACAAAAATCTAAAAATTATTACAACATTTGTAATAATTTTCATTTTCGGTGGAAACTTCAGCAACATCCATTTTGGGGTCACCCTAATCGACATATGTATTTTCCAGTCCAGGAATTTAAATATATTGTGTTGTATTCAGTCAGAAGCGGCTGTAGTGAGCCGCCATGAATGTTGAATAGATTTTCTGCTTTATTCATCGACGTCTTCTTCTCTTCAGCCTTCAAACACTCAGAGTTTATGCTTCAAGTAAATATTTGATTATATGAATGGATTTCTTTTGTACTCGGTATGGAATAATAATAGAACTATTAAACTACCTTGACATATTTGTTGTTAAACAAAAAAAAAATTATGCCATATCGAGGGGAAAGTCTACGAGTTTAAAATAATTCCCTAATGAAGATTGAAATTATACAAACATGTGTGTTTAAAAGACTTTATGTGTCTGCATCAATTTCATGCATATTTAATATGGAAATTTCATGTACTACTGCATTAACAATGAAAGTAACAATGACATTTCAGTAGCTATTTTTGTAAAAACAAATTTAAAATGCATATGGATAAAGATTTACTAATATAAAGATATAAATGTGTAAAAAAATAGCACAAAATATGTTTCAGAGAAAAAACGATATGTATTATAATCTGTTGAATATTTTTGGAATTAATTTTTAACTGAAAAAGTTGTTTGTAGTATTAAAATTTTTTCTCTAAAAAAACTTTTTCAAAATGTTAATTTGTTTTGAACTTTTCTCTTGAATGCTTAATTAGTTTGTAAATAACTTTTCTCTAGAAATTTTGATCTGATTATGATAAATTTTTCTCTAGAAATCTAGATCAGTTTGTCATAAAGTTTTCTTTAAGAAATTTAAGCAGTCCGTGCTGGGGCCTTCTCTAGAAAATTATATTAGTTTGTGATAAATAATTTACTAGAAAAAATTTAATAATGTATTAAATATGAAATGCCACTTGGTATTTGAAAAATTGTACTTGTTATAAACAAAACAAAAAGTTTAATGAACTCAATTTTGTAAATTTAAAAAAAAAATATTCATAAAATATAGCAAACACGTGTTTCATCACTCTTACTTAATTCAATTCCTCTGCATAAAGCAAACATTTTTCTATTTTTAATAAAAAAAAATGTCTACCCAATTTCAAGGTCATAGACAAAATATATTAATATACTAATAAAAAAAATAATGAAATGAAACAAAATAGAACATAGACTAATAGAATACTTCCCTTATTAACGTTTAGGAGTAGTCCTGGTACATTCTCTTATAACAAACAATATCAAACCAGCAATAATTCCATAGGGGGAAATTTTTTTCTATCATTACCAATACTCATACTCTGTATACTTTTGTAAAAATGTATGTGTATACAACTAGAGGCAAACATTACATTTTTTCTAACCAATTCAACCATTTTTTCTCATTTTTTTCTACTACTTATTGAGTTAAAGGTAAAAAATGCCTCAAGATGAGATGGATGAAATGAGTCTATACATCATTTACTTTGTTGTTCTTGTTAAGAATGTGGAAATTGATTTATCTTAAATGAAATGCGTTTAGTACATATACATTAACATTTTATATGGAGCTTTTACATGCGTTGAGTTTTTTTATGGAAATATAGTAATAGTATTGGTAATAGTGTTTTGTGTTTTTTTCCATTAACTTATTTAAATTTTATTATTTACTCTTACTTTTAATATCTTTAGTTTTAAATAAAAGTCATTTTCAAGAGCATAAGTATGAAGAAGGCGTTTCAATAAAAGGTATTAAACATTATTGATAAACTTTTTGCTAGAAAAAGCTATCTTACACGCATTTTGTTTAAAAAAGCGGACCAGACTATTATGAACTTTTTTTGAAAATGGAAACAG